GAAACGTTTGTTGACTGCCCCCCCACCCCACCCCTCCTAAAACAGACAAAAAATATACATACAGACACATACATTTATATACATACATACATACAAGAACAGACATATGAATAAATGCATGTATGATGTGCCTTATATACAAATAGACAAAAATAAAAACAGAAACATATTGTAGTTGTACGAGTCTGCAAATCCTGTAAGAAGACCGAGTCTGATGAGCAACGGAGGACAGTTCAGCTACTGATGGACCTCATGGGAGACTCTCAGTCCATTCCCATGAACAACAGGAGGGCTCTGCAACCAGAAGTTAGATAAACGTCCAGGCACGGGAACAAAGAAGAGAAGGTGGAGCTTGAACCTATGAACCACATCTGATCGCAGAAAAGATCAGGGGGGCATGTAGCAGGGAAATGATTTGTCGATCTTTCCTGTGATCAAGAGAGATTTGCCCCCCCCCCTTTCTCCATCCCTTGTACAGACCTAACGGATTTATTTGTGTTTATATGTGAATTCTATAAATAACCCTAGCCACGCTGATAACCCAAGCCACGCCGAATGTTCCGCTATTCCAGAGGCCCAGGCGCTGGTGAGATGGCCGGCCAGCTCCCAGGTAGCTAGGGTTTAGATCTAGGCTAAGGTGGAGTGAAACTTGGGGAAAATAGGCAGTTGAGCATCAACTCCCTGGATAATAGGTTGCCCTGGAGATCTTCCTCATCCTGGATTATCTATTAATGCGTTATTGATTCGTATAGTATTTTCTTATTTTTATTTGTGTTTGTATAAATAATAATAAATTGTAAAACCGTCTCGCTGAATATTTGATAATACGAGTTGTTGACTTGAATTTTTAGCATATATTAGATGGTGATAAGTTTGTAAAATTGGAAGCCCAAATAACAACACTCATTTTTGATAATATTCCCGACAAACCAAATTTCGTTTCTAGAAAGTTACAGAAACGTTATGTAAGGTAGCGTTACGTTATGGTTTCGTTTTCCTGATACGTAAATGCTACGTAAAACGAGCCACTTTTTACGTTACTGAAACGTTTTTCAGTATCGTTTCCCAGAAACGTTTTAAGATCGTTAAAAATTCGAACTATGAACGTTTTAGTTATGTAAAACATTAATAAAAAACCTTTCAAATTATTTTAAAAATGTTCAAATGCAAAAAAAAATCTGAAGAAAAAATCTTAAATACGTATATACTTAGTACTTACCTTAATATTCTATATAGAACACTAAATATATCTTACTAATATAGAGAACACTAAATCCTTATCCTAAATCTGTAGAGAACAGTATATACTTATCATGTCTTTGTTTTTCATATTTAAGAGAACACATACATACAGTGTAATGTTATGTACTGTAGAAAAGAATAAGATTAAAAATATACAGTAAATAAAAAATCATTGAAAATACTCCACTATTAAATAACAACAAGTATCATGGATAACTAGCATTTTATATTAAAGGAATTGAGTCTTCGCCACAAACTCTAATTTTCTAATCACTATATCATTGGAACCAAATGTTGTAGACCTTAGATATTTCCAACTATGAAATCTTTTAAATCAAATAATCTGAGTTTGAAATATCAAAGGTTTATAAGATCGGGTTCAAAAATAAACAGCAAATATAAAAAATCACAAAATACTAATACTAAACATTCAAAACTAAACAAACAGATTAAAGTCTGAACTAAACAAACAGATTAAAGTCTGAACTAAACAAACAGATTAAAGTCTAAACTAAACAAACTGAATAAAGTCTGAACTAAACAAACAGATTAAAGTCTGAACTAAACAAACTGATTAAAGTCTGAACTAAACAAACAGAATAAAGTCTAAACTTAACAAACCGAATAAAGTCTAAATTACACAAACTGATTAAATTCTGAACTAAACAAACTGAATAAAGTCTGAACTAAACAAACTGAATAAAGTCTGAACTAAACAAACAGATTAAAGTCTGAACTAAACAAACTGATTAAAGTCTGAACTAAACAAACTGAATAAAGTCTGAACTTAACAAACTGATTAAAGTCTGAACTAAACAAACAGAATAAAGTCTGAACTTAACAAACAGAATGAAGTCTGAACTAAACAAACTAAATAAAGTCTAAACTAAACAAACTGAATAAAGTCTGAACTATAACAAACAGATTAAAGTCATATTTTTTACTGATGTATAAAAGATAATATTCACAGTTATTGAGGAAAAGGATAAAAATATAAACAGTAAGTATAAAAAAAATCCCTAAATACTAATACTAAACATATTTTAACATCATTTAAATTCAGTGATATTTGGCTAATTATACTTCTGTAATTCCTGCATCCAGCTTATAATGTTGATTTGCTTGTTTAATTATTAGATATGACTTTTGTTCGATCTACCAGCTTAGCAAACAAATGACTTATATAATAAAAAACTTCGCTTTTAATCTTGTTCTTCTTCCCCTGTCTGAATCTGATTGAATAACTGAGATAAAGTTGTGATTGAAGCTGCTACATGAATAATAACCGTTGCTGTCAGAGCAGAATCAAACATTTTAACCTTACCAACTACTGAGTCAGCAGTGCCTGGTCACTATGGCGGCCGCGCCCTATCCAAACTACCTAAAAGCCGCGCACGCCGACCTAGTCTGCCGTGCTGATCTAGGACAGCTGTCCTATCACTATGGCAGGCCGCGCCGCCCGTGCCCTTGCCAAAAACTGACTAAAGGCAGCGCGAGCCGGTTTGACCAGTGACAGAAACTCAGTGAATCTATCTATCTATCTACCTTTCTATACATGANAGACTACAGACAGCAAGGAGGGGGAGATATACAAAAACAATTCACGTAAATTTAACTATCTATCTATCTATCAGTATTTATACCATATCTTAAATGGTTGGGGATGTTGGGGGGAAAGATGTTTCAGGGGATGGGGTGGAGGGGGGGAGAAGATAATCAAAATGTTCATGCAGAATTTGCAAAATTTTTGTTAACTATCTATCTATCTATCTATCTTTATATATAGATCTAAAATCAGCTGTTTATTCAAATTTCTTTTTTAAAAATCCATTACGTAACTTTACGATTCAGAAACGAAGTTTAAAAACTTTTTAAAAAGATTAAAATTTACACATTTTGACACATGAATTAATTAACATATAGGAATTACATAAGAAATTTATAATTGACAAATACAATTGTTCAAATTAACATACAATTTGGATTGGTATCCAGAAATACGGTTCTAAAACGTTATGTAATGTTACGTTTCATGTAACGTTACAGAATCGATACAGAAACGAAACAGAAAACGAAATTTCGTAAGATACGTAAGATGGTTTCTCGGGTTTGTCAAAATGTAAATTAAAGAAAGAGTTGCAGATAGATCAGCAAAAAAACTAAGATATGAACTGGAAATTTTGTGGTGCAAAGCACCTTACAAGCCTTATTTAAATAAAAAAATTACTTTTTCAAAATGTTTTTAAAATTCCAGGCAGAAATTTCCATGCAAAGTTATTGATTTTTCAAGGATCCAGTTACACTCCAAATTTACTAAGACTTGGAGTAGTGACTATTGTTCTGAAAAATGTTAAAACATATAATCCAGGGCAGTCAAAGCCAATCACAGTAACAAGCTAGATAATCGAGTTATATCACAGAATAATTATTGTCAAGAGATGGTAAAGCGTCAGACAGCATACTTCAAAAGACATTCTTAAATAAATTTTTTAGTTGAAATTTAAAGAAAAGGAAATAAAAAATGAAAGAAAATTGATAAATCTTATAATTCACTCAATACTAAATTAACGAGATATTCTGTAGAAATAAAACTTGATACAAATAAACTCAAGAATTTAATATAATTTACATAGATAAATCTTGATAAGGAGTGATTTACATTAAGAAAAAGATAATAAAGTCAAACAATTAATCTGTTTTAGATATATGTTTCTAGCATAACGGAGCTCTCAAACATCATTTCAATCCCTGTGTAATACCATAAGATGCTCCAACACGGAAAACTGTCTGGGTTTTGCAGCGTTTGTAAGACGAGACTTAATCCACTCTCTGACACTCTTTCTGTTCTCATTAAAGGTTTTGATCCACATGGTTACATTGTCTGGCTTAGCCGTCACTTCCTGTACAGTCATCTTTAGGGCTCTTGCTGTGATCTCATTGATGATTTTGCTGTCATTGTCATCCAGTTGCACCCCTCCTTTCATGGCACCAGTTGCCATAATACACATGGCTGCCATGCACACGTAGCTCCTTGCGATGCTGTTTGATGCAAATTTACTGTTACATGAACGAGTATTCCCCAGCAAGGAACCCATTGCATGTATGTAATCATGCATGCTGGCGTGTTCGGTGACAGATAGATCACTTTTTGTTACAACTCCCATCGCCTTGCAATAGGGGAAAGAACTGCCAAATGGGCCTATGTCTGAGGTGATCAGGTGCATTTTCAAGATGGAATCAGCCACCACGGGATTTTGTACCCAACATACAGGTCGAGTCGGGTCCCCAGGAAATAGCTACAAAATGAAGCAAAAGTCTCTGAACCCACCCATGTCTTTCCATTGGGTGGTGACGGTTCCGAATCTGAGTGGTTGATCATCTGTTTCTTTAAGGAATAAATATTAGTCAAAGGCAGCGAGCACGTCATCTAATTTGGAGACATCAATGTTTGACATCCAAGCATAGTGATTCCAATTAGGACGGGTTTTTCTCGCAGTTTTCTTGAGTTGATCCTGATGAGCTTGGTTATCCCCACTTTGGAACCTGATCGAGAACAGTACATTCATTAATGTATCTTTATATTTATCTATAGTAGCAGCGTTTCCGAGAACATTCACTGCCTGCATGTCGTATAAAGATAGAGGAGTGATGGTTGATCCTCTATTGATTGTATAGTTTGGGGAAACAATCAAGTCTATATCAACAAATTGGGAATACATTCCGGTGTAGGAATATAGGAATTTTCTGACATCTGCAGTAGTTATATTTTCTACCCCCGATGATTCTCTGATGTACTGCGGCCAGGTCTTCCACCTCAATCTCCCTCGGTTTAACATCATCTTTACTATAAATCCTCCGTAACTCGAAAGTGTCCTGTGCTGTTCTGCTGAGCTTGTGCATAGCACCATGATAAGCTACATTATTTCTCCATAGCATTAACTGTTGCCCAGAACAGGCACTTCTGTAGTGCAACATTCCTCAGAATTTGAAGTCTCTTTTAGAAGTGAATCAAGCGTTAAATTAGCTTGGTCGTTTTAGATCAAAGGGTTGGGATGGCAGTTGGCCCTCAAGAC